ATTTCTTTTTCTTGCCTAATTGCTCTGGCTGAAACTTCCAGTACTTTGTTGAATTGACGTAATAAGAGTAGTCATTCTTGTTTTGTTAACAATCATAGGAGAGAAGTTTTCAATCTTTCATCACTGACTGTGATGTCAACTATGGGTCTGTCATATACGGCTGTTATCATGTAGAGGAGATTCTCGTCTAGTCACACTTCAATGAATGCTTTTATTCATTGAAAAGGTGCTGAATTTTGTTAAATGGTTTTTCTGCATCGAGATGTCCCTGTAGTTTTTTCCTTCATTCTTGTACTGTAGTAATGTACATCAATTGATTTTCATATGTTGAACATAGCACTGTGTTCTGGGAAGGAATGAATCCACTGGCTAATATTTTATTGAGAATTTTTACATCTATATTCATAAGGCATATTGGTCTGCAATTTTCTTTTCTGACAATGTCTTTATAGACGTTGTCATCAGTATAACGCTGGCCTATTCACTGGTCACTCATTCTCGGGAAGTGCTCTCTCTTCAACTTTTTTGAAAGAGTACGGGAAGGATTAGTTTTAACTCTTCTTTAAATGTTTGGTAGAATTCTCCAGTTAAGCTGTCGAGTCCTGGGCTTTTTGCCAGAGGGTTTCTGATCACTGATTCACCCTCCTTAATTGTTATAGGTCTATTCAGATAGTCTTTCTCCATGAATCAGTTTTTGTAGATTGCATGTTTCTAGGAATTGTCTACTTATTTAGATTACCCAATCGGTTGGTGCACAACTGTTCACGATACTCTCTTAAAATCTATAAAATGTGTACCAGTTGTCCCACTTTCATTTCTGATTTTGGTAATTTCAGTTTCTTCTTTTTTTTTTTTTTTCAGTCAGTCCAGCTAAGGTTTCCTTAAACATTTGACTCTTCGAATAAGGGAGGAGTTAGTTTCTCTGCTGTTGCTTTCATAATTCACAATTCTCTCCTTGTCTTTGGATCTCCACGATTTTACTACAGTGTGTCTCAATGTGGGTCTCTAAGTTTATCCTGCTTGGAGTCCACTGAGATTCTCAAACACGTATATACATGTCTTTCCTAAGTTTGGGGAAGTCTCAAGCCATTATTTCTTCTCTCTGGGGTTTGGAATTCCAAATGATTCCATACGGCGGTATATTTGATGGACTCCCATGAGTCCCTCAGGTTCTGTTTACTTTTCATCATTCTTTGTTTCTGCTTCTCATTCTAAATAGTTGAATAGTCTTATCTCTAGGCTCACTGATCCTTTCTTCTGGCTACTCAGATCTGCTACTGAACCTCTCTGGGGAGTCTTTACATTTCAGTTATTGGACTTCTCAATTCCAGAATTCATTTCCATCTTTTAATAGAATATTGAGAATGGTTTGGGGTTCGCGGAAAAGTTGAGTGGAAATTACAGAGAAGTCCCATATACTCCTTATCCCCACACAAGCACAGCCTCCCTCACTACCAGCATCCTGCACTAAAGTGGCACATCGCTACATCAACACATCGTTTTCACCCAAACTCCAGTTTACATCAGGGTTCACTCTTGGTGCTGCTGACAAATGTATAATGACCTGCACCCACAATGACAGTATCACGCAGAAGAGTCTCATGGCTCTGTATAGTCCCCTCTGCTCCAACTTTCTCTCTCCCTCCCCTCAACCCCTGACAACCACTGATTTGTCTTCTGTTTCCAGGATGTAATACGGCTGAATCACAGTGTGTAGACTTTTTAGCTTGGCTTTTCTCACTTAGTTATATTCATTTAAGGTTCCTCCATGTCTTTTCATAGCTTGAGAGCTCACTTCTTACTAGTGCTGAATAAATTCTGTTGTTTGGATGAGCCACAGTTTATCTATCAGGTCATCTACTGAAGGGCATTTTGGCTGCTTCCAAGCTTTGGTTCCTTTTTTTACAATCGCTCTGTTTATTCATATCCTCATTTTGTTCATACATCCTTTTGCCGATTTCCTTTAGTTCTCTGTCCATGGTTTCCTTTAGCTCATGGAACACATTTAAGACAGTAGATCTAACATCTTTGAATAGTATTTCCAATGTCTAGGTTTCCCCAGGGATAGTTTCTGTCAAATCATTTTTTTTTCCCCTCTGTGAATGTGCCATATTTTCCGGTGTCTTTGCATGTTCCGTACTTTTTTTGAGAACTGAATATTTTGAGCATTATGTTGTGGTAACTCTGGAAATTTAATTCCCTCATTCCTCAGGGATTGCTGATTTTGCTGTTGTTGTTGTGAGCTGGAGTCTGTGACTTTTCTGAACTATTTTTGTAAAGTATGTATTCCTTGTGTGTGGTCACCAAAGTTTCTGTTCATCTCTGCAGTCAGCCAGTGACCTGACAAAGATTTTCCCCAAATCTCTGTTGCTCCTGAATTTCATGATGATGGGTCTTGGTTTGAGATAACTTATTGTACAGGAGACCTGATTGGCTCTTTGAATCTGGAGGCTAATGTCTTTCAAACATGTCTCTGAAACTGCCATCGGTCAACATTTATATCTCCTGAAATAATTCCATATTTTCATATCTTTTCTCTATTTTCTGGGATGTTTCTTTAAGTACATCTTATAACACTTCTATAGATGTTTTGATTCTAGCTATTATATTTTAAAACTTCTAGTCATTCTTATTTGTTCAATGCAGATTATTCTTTTAAAAGTAGCACATCATTGAGAACTCCTTGGCATCCAGTGGTTAGGACTCCGTGTTTTCACTCCCAAGGGCCTGGGTTCGATTTCTGGTTGGGGAACTAAGATCCTAACTAAAATAAAAGTAGCACATTATCTTTCTCATGGATGCAAAAGTTCTCTTTCTGAGAATGTCTAGTGATCGTCTCTTAGTTTTCCTCTGTTCCCTGCATTGTCTCTGTTTGCTCGGGGTGGGTTTCTTGTGTTTGCTTTGTCCCAGGTCTCTTTCATGCAGAGGTGGTTTTCCAATATTGGTGACTCCTGGCTGTGGTTTACAATTCAGACTGTGGCCCTGACAGCTGATTGGAAGTTGTAGGTAAACAGACAGGGTTTTCATGTAGAAGTTTTGCTCTGAATGGTCAGGCAGCAGTGTGGTCATTTTCTTGAGAGAATCTCCCAGGCAGTGCCTCCAGGCCTTTTCCTTTGGGTCAGTTTTTTCCAGAGCCAAGTCTGCTGGTTTTCTGCCACTTGCAGAATGGGGAAGGATACGTTTTTACAGACCTAACCATGACACTTCTGAGGTATGGCTGCAGGGACAGTGGACCTCAAAGCCACCCTCAGTTGTGTCTGAGGAGACTCCCAACCTCCTGCTTGAGTGGGTGAGGGGCCATCACCCGCCTGGGGTCAAGTCCTCTTTGTGTAAATTTCCCCCAACCCTATTCCATGGTTCTGCACTCCATACCCGCTGTCAGAGGCACCGGAGCCTCCAGCTCTAGGAGCTTCCTAAGGTTCAGTGACCCAATTCTGAACTTTAAAAGAGAGAGACATCACCCGAAGCCAGTCTCCCCAGGCCACCTGCTTTCCGTCTTCCAAGATGTTGCTGTCATTTGTCCCCTGCTGCAGCTACTTCTTCCAGTCTACTCTTGAGGATGACTATATTTTTAAAAAAATGTTTATTCTTTTTTTTTTTTTTTGGCTGTGCTGGGTCTTCATTGCTGCATAGGCTTTTCTCTAGTTGCGTTGAGCGGGGGCTACTCCCTAATTGCGGTGCCTGGGCTTCTCATTGTGGAGCATGAGCTTGAGGGGAACACGGGCTCAAGGATGCTCGGGCTTCAGCATCTGTGGCTCCCAGGCTCTACAGCGCAGGCTCAGTAGTTGTGTGTGGGCTTAGCTGCTCCACACCATGTTGGACCCTCCTGGATCAGGGATCGAACCTCTATTGCATTGGCAAGCGGATTCTTTACCACTGAGTCACCAGGGAAGCCCCCGAGGACAGCCCTCTTTTCTGGTCCTTTTAGTTTGGTTTCAGGAGGGAAGGAACATAAGCCCCTGTGCTTAAGCTGCCGAGTTAAGTGGGAGCCGCTGGTCTTTTCTCAGTGGTTTTTCATTAAAGAATAAGCAAAAACCTCGCGATACGTTTAAGAGAACTTGTTGGGGATGCAAATGCCATGAAATCAGACAGAAATTTAGAGAAGACTCAGCAACGCATGACCAGCTGGGATGAGTCCCAGATGCCTTGTGGAGCCAAAGAACCAGACACAGAAGTTCAAGACTGGGTGATGCCAGCATCCTGTGGGCCTGTAGTTCTCAAGCTCAGACCAGGAGTCACTGCTGGGAGCAGGTGTTGAGTGGGGGGCCTACGAGAGTCACCAGGGGGTAAGAAACATTCACCACCTTGACATGGTGGCTGTGGCACAGGCGTGCACACATGGATAGGTTTGTCAGGCTGCACTGCACAGGCTGCACTGCACACGTGTCACTGTGTGTCTCAGCAGAAGGGATGGAAACGGACATTTATTGAGTGCCTGCTGTTTGCTAGGCACTGGCTCGGTCTGCTTTTTTAATTCATTCATTTAATGAGCACCTACGATGTCCAAGGCACCCCTGAGATCCTGGGGACCCAGCAGCAAACAAGTAGTGCCTGTGCCTGCCAGGCACTGCTGGCTACCGGGAAGACACCACGGAGCGGGAGTCAGTGACGGGAGTCCATGCAGATGGGGGTCAAGGACAGGGTGTCAGAAAGGCTTCCCCGTGAGAACAAAGTTGAAACAGATCCGACCGGTCAGGAGGAAGTGAGCAGCCGCGGAGCAGGAAGAGCATGGTATGCGGAGGGATCAGCGCACGCAAGGATCCCGTGAAGGCGCGCGTCCACAAGAGCAGAGAACAGGGCCGAGCAGGGCGAACTGTCGCGGGAGGGGCCTGCAAACCAGCGAGTCCCGGCTGGGAAACTGAGGCTCAGCGTGGCGGGCGCCGGCTGCCCAGCGAGCATTGCTTGGGAAGAGGCCAGCTTTGTCTGTTCGTCCTCCACATACAGAGTGGGAGGCCGCCTGGGCTCCGGCCTCCAGCTGCCCTCACGCTCCCGCCTCTCAGCCCCACAGGGCCCGCGGCGGGGGGCGGCCATGGAGCCCTGCCCCGAAGAGCAGTACTGGGACTCGCTGCTGAACACCTGCGTCTCCTGCAAACCCACCTGCAGCGGCCAGATTCCGCGCACCTGTGCGGCCTTCTGCAGTGAGTTCTGGGGCCCAGGCCCTCGCTGGAGGAAAGCAGCCTCTACTCCTCACACATGGGGCCTGGGGGGGGGGGGTGGAGGAGGACGGACAGTGTGGGACCCTCTGCCTCTCGACCCTCCTGCCAGCTTGCAGCTTCCCCGGGGCGCCCTGTTCCTTCCTGCCTCAGGGCCTTTGCACAGGGATGTTTAACCAGGGCTTCCTCCTGCCTGACCTTTAGGTCTCAGCACCAAGTCAGAGCTCTTGTCTGACTGCCGGATGGAGAGTGGGCCCTCCTCCTCCATTCTCTGCTTGCACTTCTTTCTGAGTCTTTTTTCTATAGAAGTTAGCAAACTGAGAGAGAACAGCATAACAAACCCATCTACCAATCAGCAGCTTTAGAAATACTGCTTTTTCGGTCCCCAATCAATGTTTTAACTTGTGTATTTTAAAGTAAATCCAAAAACTCATATCATTTTACCTGTGAATAGTGGATCATGAATCCTTAATACATAGGCCTTCAAAATACAAGCTCAACATTTTGTTACTCCCATAAGTAATTCTTTAACATCGTCTACACTCACGCCATATTCTGATTGTCTTGACAAGTGTATTTTTCTTGCCTGATGGAACTCATCATGACTTGTATCATGTTCTTCCCTGTGGGTTTGTTTTATGTGTGTCTCAACCACTAGATTGCGGGCTCAATTCCTTTCTTAAGCCTGACACAGTGCTTCATATAAATACTGGCTGAGTGGAGCTCAGAGAGGCTAAGTGACTTGCTCAAGAACACACAGCATAACAGTGGAAGAGATAGGATTTGAAAAATGACTCTTTGACACCAACACCATGACTCTGAGCCACTATCCATTAGTGAGGTGATCATTCATTATGTTGACCGACAAACCCTGGAAAGAGGAATGGAAATGACTACGTTTCATAGTTAAAAGATGAACCGTAAAGCACCACGACTGGGAGGGACCACCACCTGCTGATGGGCTGAGGAGCACAGAAGTTTTCTTATAGGAGGTACCACCTGAGATTGATCATTGAAAGCTGAGTATGTGGAGGCCAGATGAGGGGGAAGGGCATCCCCTGAGAAGGGACCAGTGTGGACAAAGGCACAAGACCCAGAAAATACAGCAAAAACACTGAGGTCCAGTGGGGAGTCTGTGAGGTCTGACAGTGAGGGTGGTGGCCTGCGGAGCTGTCACCTACACAGGCACATGGGGGACCCGAGGAGGGTAGGAGGTCATGGCAACCCTGGGACAAGGCCACCATTAGGCTAACTCCCCCTGTGTTGGGGTTGGGGGTCCAGGGCTGGGGCAGGACAAGGGGTGGTTGCTGAGTCTTCCCTGAGAGGGTCAGGGGCCCAGGGCAAGGGAGGGTCTCAGATCCACACCTCACTGGTCTTGTCCTCTACTCTGAAAAGGACTTAAGGGCTGGCATGTCTGCATTGCAAAGAGGCGCGATGAATGTTCTACTTAAACCTTGAGCATTATTCACTATGTGTCAGGCACTGTGTTGGGGACTTCAAATCCTCATAGCAACTATAAGAAATCTCCATATTATATTGTGATTACCCCTCTCCTGGAAAACAGGAGACTGAGTCACAGAGAGGCCCAGTTCCCACATGAAGTGGGGATGAGTGCGCCCCAAGCCTGAGTAGCTTCAAGGTCTGGCTTCTGGGCCTCTGTCATGTGCTGCCTCCAAAATGCCTGCAAACCTACCTGCAGGTCACAGTTCCATAGGAACAGAATCCTCCTTAGAGACAAAGGAGACCCGCCCTGTAGAAAGGCAGGTCTGTAATGCACTCAGAACTGCTCTCTGAGCAAGTGTGAATGACCTTTGTTTCGCTTCGCTTCTGCCTCTGGTAGTGATACATGTTTGAGCTCCTGTGACTCTCATTTATTATTAGGACAGGAAGAACACTGTCGTTCAAGCTTTCCCACCTCCTGTCCAGGCCCCTCCCCAACTCACCAAGGGGTATGCTGGCTTCCTTCTCCATTCCTTGTATTTATAAGAGATATGCTTCTCCTTTATGAGATTTGAAAAATCCAAGTAAAGAACTCCTGTGACAACATAATAACTTAGATATCAATGTTAAAATTTAACTAGAAAATCCTTATATGGTTAGTACTAAGAAATGCACTTTTAAATCATATGTAGAGCAAAGAACAAATACTAATGAAAAATAACATTTTAAACTAGATATAGAAAAAAATACTACACATCAAAACACATACAGTGCAGCTAAACTGTACACAGTGGACAAGGTACCGTCTAGTGTTTGCATCATGGAAAAGGACTGGGATTACTCTGGGACTGCTTTTAGGGAACTGGACTAGGTTCACTGAGATGCCCTTTGAGGCCAGACCTGCAGGTCCTGTGTGTGTCCATCATGCAGTAACATTATTGACCTCTGTCTCCCAGAGTCACTCAGTTGCCACCAAGAGCAAGGCAAGTACTATGACCTGCTCCTGAGGGACTGCGTCAGCTGTGCCTCCATCTGTGGACGTCATCCCAAGCAGTGCACACACTACTGTGAGAACACGCTGAGGAGCCAAGTGAGCCTCCTACCAGAAGTCAGGAGACAGCGGGCCGGAGAGGCCCCAGCCCGAGCGGACAGCCTGGGGAGGTACCAGGTGCCAGAGCACAGAGGCTTGGATGCGGGTCCAGGTAAGCCACCTGCTGTGTTTGGCCTGCGCTTTGTTCAAGGTCCAAGTGGGTGGAAGGCGGGCATCAGGCCTCAATTAGGAGGGACTGTGAAGCAGGAAGTCCCGTGCATGCAAATAACCAGAAGCCAGACTGCGGGGTGGTCATCACAGGAAGAAAAACTGGGCAAAGTTTACAGAAGTCTGTGGGCAAGAAGAGAGCAACAGAAGAAGAAAAGATCAGACAGTTGGGAGTCTCCTGACAGCCTCTGAATGAGCTCTCAGAACCCAGGGCCACAAGGGACCAGCATAGCCAACCTGTGAGCAAGACCCCCAATCCCATTCGGAGAAACAGAGACTCATCAGGACCTACAGGCCATGTCTGCCCCACACCGTGTCCCTCTGGAGGTCTGGGGCTTACGCATCTCCCACTGTGTCCCGACACGTGTGTGTGCAGGTGAGGCCAGGGCGGGGCTTGGCAAGGATGGTAAACAGCAGAGTCCAGGCCCTGGGTCCTGAGGGCGGGGGTGGGGCGTGGAGGATGCTCACACAGCGGAGCTGACCTCTCTCCATCCCCTCCTGCTCCCCACATCCTGCACCCCCACTCATCCACACCCTGACAACCCCTACCTCGGCCCACTCCCCATCTCTCGGAAAGGCCATTCCTTTGTTTGATGGGAACAGTGGAAGCTTAGCTGGGCTGGGCCTCCAGGCGTCCACACCTGTGGCCACTTCCCTCCTGTCTCTGTCTTCACAGGGCTTCTCTGTGGGTCTGTCTTCCTCTTTCTAAGGACACTTGTCATTGAATTCAGGGCCACTCTCATCCAGGGGGGCCTCACCTCCAGATCCTTACATTTTTTTTTAAAAAGTTCTGTTTTGTCTGCATCGGGTCTCAGCTGTGGTACATGGGATCTTCCCTGCCTCATGCAGGATCTTTCAGGGCTCAGTAGCTGCAGCTCTCAGGCTTAATAGCTCTGTGGCATGTGGGATCTTAGTTCCTCAAACAGGGACTGAACCCCCACCCCCTGCATTGTAAGATGGATTCTTTTTTTCCCCAACTTTATTTATTTTTGGCTGCACTGAGTCTTTGTTGCTGCCAGCAGGTTTTCTCTAGTTGTGGTGAGTTGTGGGCTGCTCTCTAGTTGTGGTGCACGGGCTTCAGTAGTTGTGGCACATGGGCTTAGTTGCTCCATGGCATGTGAGAACTTCCCGGCCCCTGTCCCCTGCACTGCAAAGCAGATTCTTAACCACTGGACCAGCAGGGAAGTTCTCCAGACCCTTAACTTGGTCATATCCACAAAGGCTCCTCTCTCACAAATCAGGTCACATGTGTGTGGGGGCGGTGCCTGCCTTGGAGGCTCCTTGGGGGCACACTGGCATGGTAGCCTGGTGGTCGGTCTTGTCCCTGGCTTTTTGCTTACCGGGGGGCATGGAGTGTTTTCTCTTCCCATCCCTGCCACTGCCACATGCGACGTCACCACTGTGAGGGCTGCCCCAGGCCTGAAGCCAAGGAAGAGGTGCAGACAGCCTTGTGCACCCACCTCACTCATCCCCAGCCTGCCCACTTGCTAGGTTGGGGCTGCAGGGATGCTGGCCAAACGTTCCACTGCGTCCGGCTGCCGCCAGTAGCATGGAGGCCAGAGTGTCTGTCCCATTCCCCCAGAAGGCAGACCTGACCATTAGCACCTGTGGCCATGAGCCCAAGCTCAAATCCTGTCCTCCCTCGGCTACACCAGCCGATCCAAAGCCACCAGGGCCCTCAGGATGGTCACAGCACTGCCAGTCTGGCCGCCGGAGTTCCAGCCCAGCAGCAGCAGTTTCCAGGCAAGACTGGTTCTGAAAACAGTGTAAAGGTTTAACAAATCAAATGGAAAGTTCAGTTCAGTCACTCAGTCATGTTCGACTCTTGGCAATCCCATGGACTGCAGCACGCCAGGTGTCCCTGTCCATCACCAACTCCCAGAACCTACTGAAACTCATGTCCATTGCATCAGTGATGCCATCCAACCATCTCATCCTCTGTCATCCCCTTCTCCTCCACCTTCAGTCTTTCTCAGCATCAAGGTCTTTTCCAACGAGTCAGTTCTTTGCATCAGGTAGCCAAAGTATTGGAGTTTCAGCTTCAGCATCAGTCCTTCCAATGAACACCCAGGACTGATCTCCTTTAGGATGGACTGGTTTGATCTCCTTGCAGTCCAAGGGACTCCCAAGAGTCTTCTCCAATACCACAGTTCAAAAGCATCAATTCTGTGCTCAGCTTTCTTTATAGTCCAACTCTCACATCCATACGTGACTACTGGAAAAACCATAGCTTTGACTAGATGGACCTTTGTTGGTAAAGTAATGTCTCTGCTTTTTAATATGCTGTCTAGGTTGGTCATAGCTTTTCTTCCAAGGAGCAAGCATCTTTTAATTTCATGGCTGCAGTCACCATCTGCAGTGATTTTAGAGCCCCCAAAATAAAGTCTGTCACTGTTTCCATTGTTTTGCCATGAAGTGATGGGACTGGATGCCCTGATCTTAGTTTCCTGAATGTTGAGGTGTTTTTTTTTGAATGTTGAGTTTTAAGCCAACTTTTTCACTCTACTCTTTCACTTTCATCAAGAGGCTCTTTAGTTCTTTGCTTTCTGCCATAAGGGTGGTGGTACCTGCATTTCTAAGGTTATTGATATTTCTCCCAACAATCTTGATTCCAGCTTGTGCTTCATCCAACCTGGCAATTCGCATGATGTACTCTGCATATAAGTTAAATAAGCAGGGTGACAATATGCAGCCTTGATGTACTCCTTTCCTGATTTGGAACCAGTCCGTTTTTCCATGTCCATTTCTAACTGTTGCTTCTTGACCTGCATACAGATTTCTCAGGAGGCAGGTCAGGTGGTCTGGTATTCCCATCTCTTTAAGAATTTTCCACAGTTTGTTGTAATCCATACAGTCAAAGGCTTTGGTGTAGTCAATAAAGCAGATGTTTTTCTAGAATTCTTTTGCTTTTTCGATGATCTAACGGATGTTAGCAATTTTGTCTCTGGTTCTTCTGCCTTTTCTAAATCCAGATTGAACATCTGAAATTTCTTGGTTCACGTACTATTGAAGCCTAGCTTGGAGCATTTTGAGCATTACTTGGCTAGCGTGTAAGATGAGTGCAATTGTGTGGTAGTTTGAACATTCTTTGGCATTGCTTTTCTTTGGGACTGTAATGAAAACTGACTCTTTCTAGTTCTGTGGCCACTGCTGAGTTTTCCAAATTTGCTGGCATATTGAGTGCAGCACTTGTTCACAGCATCATCTTTTAGGATCTGAAATTGCTCAGCTGGAATTTCATCGCCTCCACTAACTTTGTTTATAGTGATGCTTCCTAAGGCCCACTTGACTTCATACTCCAGGATGTCTGGCTCTAGGTGAGTGATCACATCATCATGGTTATCTGGGTCATTAAGATCTTTTTTGTATAGTTCTGTGTATTCTTGCCACCTCTTCTTAATATGTTCTGCTTCTGTTATGTCTATACTGTTTCTGTCTTTTATTCTGCCCATCTTTGCATGAAATATTCCCGTGGTATCTCAAATTTTCTTGAAGAGATCTCTGTCTTTCCCATTCTATTGTTTTCCTCTGTTTCTTTGCATTGATCGCTGGAAAACCTGCTTGGAAATGAACCAAGCGCTGCCCCTGGTGGCAGTACTCAGAACTGCGCCTGCCGGCCTGGTTCTCAGGCAAGCACCACAGGTCACGTCCTTTCCAGACAGAAGTCCCTGGGCTTGGGGTCAGCAGACAGCGAGGCACCGGGCCAGGCCGCTCCATCCCAGGGCCAGGTCACTAGGGCCGAGACAGGGCAGCAACCAAGCTGCAGAGCTGAACAGCTTGGTGACTGAGCACAGGAAACAGAGCAGAAGCCGGGATCCTGTCCTCCCATCTGGCAGCCAGCAGGCTCCCCCCGCTTTCCTGTCTGGAAGGGGTGACATGCATGAGTTGTGATGGGAGAGAGAAGGCATTAAGACCGAGGTTTGGGGCATTCTCCCTAGAAGCAATGCCTGCTGGAGGTGGGGTTGTCGATTCCCAGGTGTTCCCATTGAAGCACATCTCATCCCAGGCTGTACCCCAAGTGCCTGCCTTCCCCTCCCTCCTCACTCCCTGCCCCTGGGGTTTGGCCCATCTCAGAATCCATCATGCAGCTGGTCCCCAGTCAAGGACTGCATCCACATCACCGGAAGTGATAGTGCAGAGTCCGTGGGACTCTGAAAGCATGCCCGCGTCTCCAGCCTGGGTGCAGCTGGAAGGTGACATGTTCTGTGGTTTTAACTGCACTTCTCCTCCGGGCCAGGGCCTCTGTGAGGCATGTGCAGGGGTCAGGGGGGCCAGGCAGGAACTAGTTCCATTTCCCTGGGAAGCCCCAGATCTTGGTCTGGGCCGAGGGACAGAGAGAAGGCAGAACCTGCCTTTCAGAAGCAGAGTCCCTGCTCAGGTTGTCTAGTGTGGCATCTGAAAGCAGCTGAACTCTCAGATGGCAGGAGACCACCCCTGTTCTCACTTCTGGTTCTGCAGGTCTGGGCAAGGAGAGGAAGGGGGGAGGGGGGCTCGGGCGGCAGGTCCCTGCTGATGGCGCCCAGGGTCACCATGGTAGGTGGATGGTGCTGTGGATGGAGTCACCTAGAGGCTTGGCCCTGATGCTGTAGTGACTGAACCACACTTCTCCTCACTCTAGTTCAAGGGGGACACTCTCCATGGGGCTTCTTCAGCTGGCTTCTCACGTGGGGGCTCGGGGCACACAAGAAAGCAGAGTAGCAGCTGACAGGCCTCCTTGGGGCACAAGCCAGACCCTGTGTCACCCTCGCTACATTCTGCTGGGTGCAACGGGGGGCCCAACCCAGCCTGACCTGAAGGGCAGAAATCAGGAACCATCTCCGAATGCCAGCAGCCAGTCTCGTCAGTCTGAGTGTTGGAATTCACACTGAAGACACCTGAAATATGCAGATGTGTGGTTATGAATTGACCTGGCGGTTCTGTGTACTGAGCAGCGTCAAAGAATAGACGCTGGTGGCTGGCAATTCCGCCTCTGACGGGAAGGCTTGTCTAGCCAGCCTGATGGTTTCCCTTTATCCTGGGGTGCGTAGGAGCAGACGGAGAGACCTGGGAGCTGGGAAACATAGTGTCACCTAGTTCTGCACACCCTGTGACCTCTCCCTGGATCCTCTCACCTCTCAGGATCTCGGCCTCCAGATCTGTAGCCTCAATTAGAGTCTTTGCTTTCCCTCCCCCATCCAAGGCCTGTCTGAGCTCTGGTCAGCACCGCTGGCCTGGGGTGGTGACACCAGCCTGCTCAGAGCTCTGTAAACATCAAGGCAGCATAGGCCAGCAGTCACTTTATACAACTCTCTCTTGGGAGTGTGTGTAAGGAAGAGGACCAGTGTCCACGCTCATCACGTGTGTGTGTGTGGTTGGCCAGGCCCTGGCCTGGAGTCCATCAGGCCTGCCTCTAATTGCACCTCTGCAGTTGGGACCACGGTGATTCTGAGGCTCAGTTTTGTTTCCTGCAAGATGGACTGTAAGATGGTGCAACCACTGTTGAAAACCGTCAGGCTCCTCAAACAGCTCAACACGGAGCTGCCGTCTGCCCCACACTCCACCCCCGGGATGCATCCATGAGAGTGAACACAAGGTCCACGTGGAAACCTGCAAGCATCAGAAGGGTGACACAACTCTGATGTTCCCTGTGGACGGACAAATGACACACGTGACCACAGGCCTGAGCCTCGGAAACACGCCGAGGGGCTGACACAAAGGGCCCGTGCTGTAAGAGTCTGTCGGTGGCCGGAACTGGTGCAGAGACAGTCTAGTGGAGTCTGGGAGAGGGGGGTCACCACGATGGGTGCGGTGCCAGCCCCGGCCCCAGGCACACAGGCAGCAGCTGCATAACCCTGCGAACACACTGAACCCCTGCCTCCTCCGCTTCACAGCTATGTAGCCACGGACTACACCTCGGTCTCTAAAGAGGTGACCAGCCCTCACTCCCAGAGCACGAGGATCTGGGAGATGCTAAAGAAAGCGCTGTATGCTCCAAGGGCAGCAGGCGGCCAGCAGCCCTTCCTCCAGGTGGCAGGAGGCCCAGGGCAGGTGTTGAGGGCAGGGCTTTGGTTCAGGCCCTGAGAGGCAGAGAGACCAGCGCCCCATTTCCCCAGGGCCCCTGGCTTTACCCCTGCCCCCCAAACTCAGAAGCAACTGTACTGTCTCTCTGTCGAAGCTTGTGCCCCCAGGTTAGACAGACACACACCCTCCCTGGATAGCTATCACTCTGTTCACCTAGCCACCTCTGGTACTGCCCCAAGTCACACGCCAAAGGAGATGACACAAACGACGTCCAGCTCCACCATCTCAGAGGCTACTCCAGGCCGGGGTGGGAGCAGGCTGAGCCTGGCCCTCCAAGGGGGTGAAGGGTAACCACAGAGCTTGCGTTGGGCTGACAGGGCAAGAGCGAGCCTGGAGGAGGAGGGGCCGCTCCCTGAGGACAGCTGCCTTGGGAGGCCCTTCTCGTTCTCACCCCAGCCTTGTCCTGCAGTGCCCACAGGACTGAAGCTGAGCGCTGACCAGCTGGCCCTGGTCTACAGCACGCTGGGCCTATGTCTCTGTGCCATCGTCTGCTGCTTCCTGCTGGCCGTGGCCTGCTTCCTCAAGAGGAGGTGGGTCCAGGTCTCCTTCCCGACGCACCCAGGGCCGTGTCCCACACAGGCCAAGACCTCCAAGGGTGAGTGTTTACTGGGATCCCAGGCATCTCTCTGTCCTGGCCCTGCCCCGTTTCTAAGTGGACAGCGCCAGGCAGCTCCTCCTAGAGAGCCCTGGGGCTGGAAACGGTGCAGCACCTGCTCAGACTAGATGAACCAGGTCAAACATCAAGGTGAGAAGAGAAGGGGCTTGAGGAAGGGTGAGTGGACGCATGGGGTGGGGTGGGGGTTCGGGACCCGCAGCGCTAAAACCGGAGGTGGTGGGTCCCCTGGCACTTTGGGACTCTAAGGACCGCACCTGCACATCTGCCCCCGCGGAAGGGGAGGGCGTGGCCGGGCTGCCTCGGGGAGAGGGCGGAGGACGAGGGGTCCGCGCCGAGGCCAACACCTTCTCCTCCCTGCACAGATCCCTGGATGGAAGCCGGCCATGTGGCAGGGGCGCCGCCCGAGCCGGTGGAGACGTGTAGCTTCTGCTTCCCGGAGTGCAGGGCGCCCACCCAGGAAAGTGCAGGCGCGCCCCCGACACCCCGGTCCGAGCGCACAGAGGGGAGGGCGCACAGCAGCCAGAGCGCAGCTGGACAGTCCTGTGTGCACGCTGCGAATGGCGGGATCGAGGCGGTGTACACGCCCGCGCAGGAAGGAGGCCTGGCCACGTGAACCAGGGAATGGTGAGGGGGGAGAGGGAGAGAAGTGGGGGACGGGGGTGGGCAGAAGGGGAGGAAGAGGTAATGGGGGAGGAGGGGAGAAGAGCTGCGGGAAAGGGCCAGGGACCCCATTCTTGATCCCAGATCTCCACCGCAGGTCAGCGTCACTTCAGCGCACCTGCGGTAAAGGCACCGCCCTTGCTGGACTCAGCCCCGGGGCCCCTTCGCGGAAATAAAACCTCCCACACTGGCTGCTCCTCACTGTCCTGGTTTGGGTCGTGTCTCCCTGTGGTGACCACCCAGTTTCACGGCTCCTGCTGCCCCTGGGTTCCAAGCCTGGTCTTCGCGGACCTGAGATCACTTGTGGACGGAGGTGGCGGGCTCTGCACGTGGCCGACACATGGTGCACTAGGGCTGTGCCAGCCTGTATTGATCTCACAAAACCCATTCCCTTCCGTGTCTCCTCGGGAATGTGTGAAGCAGCGTGTCTCTGTGTGCCCTGTACATGTGTATGTGTAGCGCTGTCCCCACCAGTCAGGGGCGTGGGGTAGACAGAAGGACAGGCAGGCTGAGCCCAGGCATCAAGCTGCTTGGAAAGCCTGGGACCATGCCACAGGTTCAAGGGCGGGAGTGTTCTCATTTAGACACCAACCTACACCTACTGTTCAGTATTTTTCTTTACATCAACTTTTCTTTCAGACCTACTTGGTAAATTTTGTGGATTTTGACTGGTAACACTGTATCTGAGCATTCACACATTTTTGATGTTATGTATATTTTATGTGTGTGCTTAGTCGCTCAGTCATGTCCGACTGTAGCCCACCAGGCTCCTCTGTCCATGGGGATTCTCCAGGCAAGAATACTGGGGTGGGTAGCCTTACCCTTCTCCAGGAGATCTTCCCAACCCAGGGATTGAACCCAGGTCTCCTGCACTGCAGGCTGATTCTTTATCCTCTGAGCCACCAGGGAAGCCCGTTTATTTATATCAGTATCTATATGATATATACATTCTCTATATATTTTATATATATTATACATATATTTTATATCAATATCTATATGAGCAATGAAACTTATATTTTAGTAGCATTTAAACCTGAAAATACAAAACTATTCTAAGCAGCTACATAGATAAACACAAGATTATGCAAACCAAACATCCTGTATCTCCCCAAACTGCCTGGCACACCTACATGCACCAAAGTTTAACACACATTCCTGGAGGTGCAGACAGAAAAGACACTCCCTCTTTCCCCATCCCCTGTTAACAGACCCTGTCCGCTTCCCAGACTGGGCGGTCTCAGCTCTGGACCCTCCTGCCTCCCCACCCAGGTATTGGGCAGTGATGGAAGGGGCTGCCCCGCCCTCACCCTGGGTTGCAAGCAGTCAATACATAGTCTCTGTCCAAATTTCCCTTTATAAGGCCACCAGTCACCCTCATGACTTCATTTGATCATGTCTGTAAACCTGCAAATAGTGTCACGCTTAGAGGTTCTCAGGGTTAGGACCTTAACCCTTGAGAGTGGGGGGATACATCCTGGCCAAAACATGGTTCTTCCAGAGCCCACCTCCGTTTCATCTGTCTGAAGGCAGAGCTCTGACCTGTGTTCAGAGGGCCTCCTGTGGCAACAGGGACGGCCTGGTGCAAGCGTCTCTGGGCAGCCCTGCTGGATGCCGGCAGAGTCCTGGCACAGCTCTGAGCTGTGCCGATGTGCTCGTGACATGACAGTAGGCTTGTTCCAAAGATGTGCAGACTCCCCTTCCCTCTGCAGCTCTCTGAACCCCAGGGGAGACTTCTGAAGCAGGGGGCAGGGGAGGAGTGGGAGCTGCTGAAAACAGGGAAATGCGTGCCTGACTATATAGCTTTCCACAGACAAAAATCATCTTTTGCTGTTTTTCCACTGGTCTTTTGTATAAGTTTATGTGGGTTTTTTTTGCATCCTCTCCCCCCTGCCTTTTTAAGACCGAGTTTCCTTGTTGGAAAGAAAATCTGAAACCTTAAGTACCATCTTATCCATATTTTCTGTTCTGATGGATCTGATTCCTGCTGCTTGCTGCAGCTCCAGCCCAGTTCCCGGGTTACCAGTCCCCACTGGCCTCCTTGAGGCCACCCTGTCTTCCAGGCCCAGAGCTCAGCAAGCTCTTCTGAGAAGGTAGGGATGACAGTCTGCAGCGACTGCTCAGCACTTACCCACTGTGGCCACTTACTGTGGCTATACCCGGCCGGCCAGGATGAGGCAGTGGGTCAGCCTGGGCTCTGGGGATCCAGCTCAGACTGCCCGCCCCACTTCACCGTCTTTACAATCAGCTTTACTGAGATGTAACTGACAGGTAACACTGTGCAAGTTGACACATGACACATTTATACACTGGGATATGCTCTACATGGCGTCAGGAACACCTGGACCCCCGACCACAACCCTCCGGACCCTGTGAGATGATCTCTCATGTGACACAGTGTCACAGCGTGTCAGTCTCACCTGAGAGTTCATGCCTCTGGCCAGCATCTCCCCCTTCCCCACTTCCAGCCCCAGGTGACCACCACTCTGCACTTTCTCTAAACACTGGTCTCCATGCTTACCCCTCTCTACATTTTTGCAAGAGCTATTTGCAACACACCTTTACTTGATGTCAGTTAACCCACAAACAGCCTCAGTTCCTTTGGCTGCCCCATCTTCGTGTCGCTGTTCTGAAGCCCATGATCCATCAGTATTATTTTTGCTTTAGAAACTCAGTATCTTTAACAGTGATTAAAAATAAGAAAAATGACGCTGCATATATTTACCTTTAAGTCTAGAAATCATTTTCTGTGTGCAGACCCAGGTCTGTCCAAAGAGCTTCCTTCAGCACTTCTTGTGTGCATCTGCAGGTGATGAATTTATTCAGTTTGAAAGTCTCTTTCATTTCCGAGATTTCTTCTGGGTAGATTCTGGGAAGCCAATTTCTTCCTCTGAGCATCTCAGAGACATTGCTCCACTCTCTCCAGCTCCCAGTTTCTGATGAGACAGCTGCTAGAATTCCCACTTTTGTTTCTTTGCAATGTGTGCCTATAAATTCTTCTGTTTTTTAGCAGTTTGAAAATGTGTCCTAGAGTTTTCTGCTGTGAGTAGGTTTGTTATTTATCCTGCTTGGGGTTCTGTGAGAAAGCTTGCATCTGCAGTTTTTTCTTCATTATAAAGTTACTATCATCCCTTCCAACTGCTGGGTACTGCCCCACACCAAAGGTACCCTATTCTTTGGGTTTTTACCCCATTCCCCTCTTTGGGTGGTCCCAGCGCCTCCTCCTTCGGCTGAGGCCAGTACACACCCTTGTCACGCAGCGCTGTCACGCTTGTCAAGGGTGTCCGTCTTGTCACCATGACCGTGTCTCCTAGAAGGTCCTTCCGAGCAGATCCCCCCACTCCACTGAGGGCCCATCTGTTCTGCACCGTTTCCAAGGGCCTTCAACACATTAACCCTAATGACTCAGACTCTCCACCTGACAGCTTCAACATTCAGGTCATCGGACTCTGGCTCTGCTGCTCTGTCTCTTGGCAGGAAGCAGTTTTTACTTGCTCTTTTGTGAGTCCTGTGCTTTTCTTACAGAACACCAGATCTGTATGGGGCGCCAGAGACTGAGATATGAAGTTTCCATGCCTGGAACTGGCCAGCCTTTCTCTGCCTGGCCATCAGTGAGGGGCCGAGTCGCTAAGTCACTAGCTGAGTTGGTTGGGTGGTGGTTGTTGCTGTGATCACCCTGGGGCCTCTGGCTTCACCCGCCCTCGCGGTCATGCTCTCAGGTGGGAGCGGCTCCCCAGTTGTGCGCCTTCCTGCCTCCCTCCACAGTGTCACTCAGCTCTTCCTCCCATGGGGTCCTGTCTTGGCTGCTCGCCACCCCGCCCCCTCCCAGAGCAGGAGCCCTCAGTGTCCCTCCTGCTGGAGCCTCAGGGCCACACTGACCTGCTTCTGCTTGGAGTCCTCAGAAGCATGGACCATCTCAGTACTGCATGAAGCATCACTCTGGCCCCCAAGCTGACAACGTTCTGCAGACTGGTTTTGACTAGCTGCTACTTTAGTAACAATGAACTAAATAAAGCACTATGTTAAAAAAATGTGTACAAGTGAACTTATTTACAGAAGAGTCACAGATGTAGAAAACAAAGAGGGATAAACTAGGAGACTGGGACTGACGTATACACCCTCCTAGACAACGGATAAGGACCTACTGTAAAGCACAAGGAACTCTACTCAGTACTCTGCCATGGCCTACATGGAAAGAGAATCTAAGAGTGGACATGTGTGTATGTATAACTGATTCAGTTTACTGTACAGCAGAAACCAGCATGACATTGTAAATCAGCCATATTCCAATAAAAAAGCAAATAAGAATTAAAAAAATCATAATCACATGAGAAACCCCCAAACTCATAGGCCCCCCAGTTTGGTGGCATTTCGAGGGATTCTATGGTCTGAAGCAGGAAGACAAGGTGCTGCACCCCCACACCTCCCGTGTGAACAGGCAGCCCTACTGACACGTTTGGGCATGTTAAGTCCACCTGTCTACACTGGCAGCACATGGCTCCCAGTTAAAGCAGGACCTGCAGGAGCACAAGCGCGCTGCAAGACCACTGAGCCTTAGGACGCATCAAGAGTCCAACAGGGACGCCAGGGCACCAGCACAGATGCTGCGAGCACACTGGCCTCATCCCACCTCCAGGCCGTCCTCCTCCACACGAAGAGCCGCTGCTCTGGCCGAGCACCTGACACGGACACAGCAACCACATGGCCCAAGCGCCCTGAACACACAAGTGTGAGTGTGCAGCAGGGGACACACACTGGCAGCGGGCGTGATGGCATCAACATCCACATGCACCCTGTGACCAGGGACCCCAGGGACATCCCAAAGGACAGCAATAAAGGGAAGTCCTCACTCCAAGCAGAACTCTTGAGTACTCTATCTGGTCACCCACCTTGTTAGGAACGAGACTGGCCACAAGTACCGACCTATGTGGACTCCTGGGGCAGTGCCAACAGCTCACTGGACAGTGAAAGACTCAGAAGGAACAGGATTAAAAGGCCAGTGACAGAAGATGTGGGTGGGGACAGACCTCGCAGGTCAGGAACAGACTGTGCTCACCAAGAAGCCTGACAGAGGACACTCACCAGGTGGACGAAGCCACCTGTTGCGGGTGCTGATGGCTCACTGCCCCCACGCCATTGCTCCAAGGGCCCACAAACAAAGAAGCCATCAAAATGGGGTAGCAGGGGGTACTAGAACAGGCTCCATGTCAGGCCCCGGGCCAAGTTCACCAGCCACTCCTGTGGGATGCCTGCCCAGCCCAGCTCCCAAACCAGTTCTGAAGCCTGGAGGTCACTTGCCATATCACAGCAGCAGGTGGCCACCTGCTGGCCGGCCGACTACACAGGGGTCAGCATCTGTCTTCATGTGATGGACCCATCTTCTGGACTCGGCTCTGCCTGCCCTGTCTGTCCACACTCCCCAGGTCATGTTGCTCCACGAGCCCGACCACTGAAGGCACGACTTCCAGGACAACTTCACACTTTTAACTAGACCATGGTCAGAGCGCACAGGCCCTGGAATGGAGGGCGAAGGCTGGGGCAGGGCTGGAACACTACAGCTTTATACCAACAACTGCATTGTAGGTCTTCATTCCCAGCCTGGACAACTCTGGATTGAAGGTCTAAGACCCTGGGGGCAGTGAGGGGTGGGGTGGGTGCCTTTCTGCAGGGATGCAACAGTGGTCCTGGTTAACGTGGAGAGACTGCGGGGTAAGGCAAGGACAGCTACTCTGGAGCCCCGTGGACTTGCTGGCACTTCCTGGTATTTCTGCATAAGAGAACTGAAGGAGTTTGCACCTCTCGCATCTTGAAAAGGGACGCTTCAGATATGAAGGGTAGATGGGGTGAAGGGGCCACAGCCCATGACAAGCGCAGAGTCAAACAGCACTGACCAGGCCAGGGACCTTCTCTGCTCACTGACTCACACCTTCCACCTGCTCAACAACAGGGTGGCCTTCCCCACATGCGTGTCCCTGCGCCACATCCCAGGTCGTGTGCTCAAAGTCTCCAAGGATCCCTGCATTTAAAGCCCCTCAGGTGACATATTAAATTCAAAATCTGATGGACCACATGGCCCAGAGCCCCAGGCTCCTCAAGTCACTGTCATGCCCAGGATGAGATGCAAACGACATGGACTTCCTGGCCCAGGGCAGTGCCAGTAATGGAGTAACTGGAGACCAACCAGTTTTCAGAATAAAATGTAGCTTTATTACGACACAGGAAAGACTACAAGCCATTAGGAAGGAGAGGAGCCAAATAGTCCCTCAGAAGGGCAAGGAAAGGGACATGGAGACATCCCCATGGTAAAATCCACAGCATGATCACTGGCATCTTGTTCTTATGATTTTGTTGTCAAAGTTATAGCAAATCAGTTACCTGAACTATCAAAAGAACGGCAATTTTATACGACAGGAGCATCTACACCGAGCAAGCTACGACAGCACGAGTGTACACACTGCAGAAGGGCGAGTCACGGGCGCTCTGGTGCAGGCAGGAGGCCCCCACTCCTCAACTCAGGACACCCCAGAGAGCACGCGCCACCGCCTCCCCGTGACGAGTCGACACAGCGGCCGGTGTCTCAGAGACACAGTCACTTTGATACACAAGTGCGGGGGGAGGGGTCGCCCAGGAGTCCTCCGTGGTCTGGACGTCGACGCGAGTGGTTGTGAGAAACGGGAAACTTTCCAGCAGTTGCATCAGGAGCTGAGAGAAAGGACTCCCAAATGCAGCCTATGTTCCTGACATCACGGCAGGACCTCGGCACAGCCGAAGCGTCACGCCCACCCCGCCTCCACCCCACGTGGCTCTTCCAGTCAGGGGGTGATCTCGTCAGCAGACACACAGCTAAGTGCTCAAAACACCAGGCCAGAGGGAGTAAAGAGCATTAATCCAGATATAAAAATTCAAAAATAACATTTAGAAAAGAGAAACCTGGCTTCACCGTCTCCCCATCCAGGAGCTATGGACATGAGTGCAGGGCCCAGAAGTGGTGCAGGGAGGGACAGACTGACCCAACAGAAAGCCAGAATATCCACTCTGTTCCCACTTAACACGGAGTACCTGGGCCCAGAGCTCCGTAGTCACCTCCAGCCCAGGGCCCTCAGAGCAGGCATAGTGCACGGGCCACACAGGGTGGTTTCTGAGTAAAGGTGCCCACCCGCATGTCTGATGATGCTCATGGCTGTTTCAAAATAAGCTTAACAACTTGTGTTCCTAAAATACAGAAACACAACTGAGTGACCCTGGCAGGCGCTTGGGCTGTATCCACCAGGTATGATGACCTGGCCTAGGAACCCCAGCCAGCACCTTCCACCCTGCACGGCAACCACACTGCTCCTGGACCTAAGCAGCTGATGAGCTGGACCCAGTCCACTGCCTGTTTGGCTGAGAACTATGTGCACACCTTTACAGAGTGAAAAAAGTTAACACCCTGTAACACGGGAAAAGTATGTGATGTTCATATTTCCATGCTCATGTAAAGTTCTCCACAACACAGCTACATCTGTCCATGTGTCAGCTGTGAAAGAGACCACAGGGCCCACAAGCTGGGAGCACCGACCACCTGGCTCTCTGCGGAAAGTCCGAGGACCTAGCTGCAGGGGCATGTGTTCCTCTCCACGAAGTAGACCTCACAGTTCAGGGCAGATGGGCTTGTCCCCGTCTCCAGGTTGGACTCTCTCAGAATGGACAATCTAAGTCAGGGTGTGGACAGACGGGTGCATCTGCTCCTTCAGAGCACCCCACTGGCTCTGTCCTGGCCGTCTTTCCTGCTGCAACAGAAACAAGCAGAACGGAAAGCAGAGACCCCCAGCATGGAACACAGCAACACCACCCATCTCTGCAAGGCCCCCCCATGCCATCCAGCACGTCCACTGCCCAGCAGCGACTGGGAGAGCTCGTGGGCCAGGTGGCCAGGAAGGAAACACAAGGAAACAGTGAAACCACCAGACACACTTGAGTTACTTAAAGACAGAGACCATTCCCTGTCCAGCCCACTCCTCACCCGCGGCTCTGACACGGACCCGGAGGTCCCTGGGGATAAGGGGTGGGGGCAACAAAAGCAGCACCAGTGAAGAAGCAAGACCCACTCTCCAGAATCAAGGGAAAACGATCTAAGGTTCAGTCTGAACTCGGTAATTCGTTTACATTACTATCACTGCATTCATGAAATTCACGATCATGGAAAAGAGAGTAAAAGGGAGAATAAGAAAACGCCTATTTCTAGAAAATGGGGAGGTCCTTCCGCATGCAGGACAACGCTGGCGTCTGCAGGACAGATGAGCCGGAGGCTGCATGGGGCTGTCAGCTCCACAGGCTCCGGGCCCTGGATCCACGCTACGCACACTCAAGACCCCAAATTCACCGAGAAAGAGATCGTGAGGCCCGCGTCTCTTCTCGGCCCGCTCTGAGTCCCCAGCCTGGAGCCACGGGCAGTCCAAGGGGCATGGGAGACACGTGGGCACTGTCTCCTTTGCCCCCAGCCCCTGGGCCCACCTCCTGTGAAGCATCTGCACAGTGTGGCCCCAGGCGTGCGGGGGCTCCCGTGGGGCTACTCATACTCCAGGAACTGCTTGTGGTAGAACAGCAAGTACCTGTGGAGGAGAAGGCAAGCTCACCTCCCACCCGGGGGCAGCTGTGGGGCACCTGTCCCCACAGAGCCGGGGCCCCCAGCCCATGCCTGCCCTCCCTTGGGTTGGGGGTCCCTCTGTGAAGGATGCCTGCCCCAGGTTCCACCCACCCAGCCCTCTCAAGGGTGCCACCTCAAGAGATTCCACCACCGCGGAATATCAAGGCTGCCACGCTGCCTGGAACTCCAAGCCCAAATGCTGTCAGGGTCACAGCAGGTCATCTGGGGCAGGAGCCTCGCAGATGGGCACAGGGGGAGCTGTGGTCAGGGGACCTTGGACCTGCGGGACGCACCCCTCGCTGTCCAGCACGTCCGCGATGCTGGCCTTGGTGATGATGGCGTCATCACATTTGAACCACTGGTCCTTGTGCTGTCTGATGAAGCTGGTGTAGTGGCCGCTCTCCAGGGTCCCCTGGTGGTTGACCACCGCAAACAATGAGTACCTGATGGGATGGCAGCAGGGACATGGAGGTCACTCAACCCTGTCACCAGCCGGGACCACAGTCCCCACAGGCAGCAGCCCAAGGATGAATGCTGACGGGGAAGGGTAAGGGGACAGGCCACCCGGGAGACACTGGAGCTGCTGCAGCCTCCCCTCGGCCGCCAGCAGGAAGGACGGGAAAGGACAGGGCCTAGTCAAGGTGCCAGGAAGGTCAGGCTCCTGCAAAAGGAGGCAAGCTTAGATGCAGGTGGGGGAGGCCCCGCCCTGACAGAAGAGTGGTCGCAGCACCATAGGGAGCCAGCCAGTGACCAGAAGACACACAACCTGGCCACCCCCTCCCCATGGCCAGCCACACACACACACAGTCACCCGGGCAATGCAGGTGGGGCATCCCTAAGGCCCAGGGCCCACTCTCGCTCAAGACGCTGGCCCGCCCGCCAGGTGGAGCCACTCACTTGTTGTCGTTGTTGAGACTGTCTGTCGGCTGCTGGTACTGCCCGTTCATCCTGCTTTCTTTGCTGTAAGGACAGCGGCAGACTCAGCCTCGATCAAAATGTTAAGAGATCACCCTCACCAGGGACTTGCAAGCCATGCCTATGTGGCTTCCAAGCATTCTCCCAAAAACTCTGCCTCAGGCAGAGATGGCCTCCGACTTACAGTGAGGAAACTGAGGCCCAGGCTAGCCAATGGACCCTCCACACCGAGCTGGAGTCAGCCAAGACCCACGGTTCCCCCAAACCATCCTGTCTCCCCACTCCACCCCTGGCCACGGGGTCAGCCTCACTGGATCCACCTGGGCTCGGCCTACATGGGCTCAGGTCTCTGCTGCTTCAACACCCCCTGCAATCGTCCACCAAAGCAGCCCTCATCTGACACACTGGTAAGTGTCCAGGCGTTTTGTGAAGGTAAATTTTAAGTGGTCCAGGAAACAAAGACTCAAAAACAAATGACATCTGCAGCTGCAAAACCACCCTGCTGATTTGTATACACCCCGGCACCTGCGGCTAAAATGCTGCTGATGGGCAGACAGTCCATGTCTGAGCCAGTCCCACGACAGCTAGTCGGGGGCCAGCCTCCCTCACACGGGGAGGGATCAGAACAGTGAGGGGTCAAGGGCTTCCATGACATCAGGGCTCACTGCTGTCTCATCAGGGACCTGGCACCGTACCTGCCCAGCCATGGACAGAGGACAAACCTGGAGGCCATGAAGGGGGTCATGTCCAGCTCCAGGGGGAAGGACACGTAGGTGGTGATCTTACGCCGGAGTTTGGCTGAGTGTTCGAACCGCTGCAGAAACGGAGGGATGGAGGAGACAGGTTAGGGCTCCTCCCACCGTGTCTCCAGGGCTTCTAACACGCCTTTCTGTGTTTTCTGAAGTGCCCCACTTCTGCCCAGAGCCAGAGCTCAGAATCCACAGGACGACAAACCCCATGGGGCTTAGCCCACCACCCCTGAAACAATGGGTCTGACGGCAGGTGTGGACATGACACAGCATCTGGCAGGAAAAGCAGAGCACACGCCCCATGCCCTGTGCCCCCTGCCAGATTGGACGCTTCCCCACGAAATGGGACACTGGACCACTAGCAAGCCAGGGCTCGGGTTTTGGGTTGTCTTACACCTTTAAAGGGTCACAAAACAGAATAAGCAAGAGAGACCATTAAAAAATGTCCAAGAAGAGCAAACACAACAGGTCTGCCACGTATTCTTTCTTAGCTCATCACACAGGACTCACACTTGCTAGTGGCCCTTCACATAAGGCATGCTGACCCCGGGATTAGACCTTACTCCAAAGGATCTTTGCTTTTAAGGAAAAGAAAATCAGAAAACTTGGGCTGAGAATGGAAGAATTTGGAGGGGAGGAGGAGTAAACCCCTAACCACCCCCTACCCAGAGTAACTTGCCCTGTTTCAGTTATAAAGTAATTCCTTTTTGATTCATAGCAAACCTCCTGACAACAGACACAAACAGTCAGGCACTGGCCTGTGTGCTCCAGAGGTGAGGTGGGCACTGCACACCCACCCTGGGCCCGGGACATGCTTGGGGAACTCACTTTGAGGTGGAAGCAGGCCACAATGGGCAGCTTTTTCATGGTGAGCTGCTTGGTGGACTCCTGGTAGCTATGGCAACCGCTACATTTGATCTTGGCACTGCTTCCTAAGTGCTCTGGTCTGGTAAATCTGCAACATGTCAAAAATGTGCACTTTTAGTTAAAAAAAAAAAAAAGATGATGAGAATACTAAGAGAAGAAAGAGAGAAAAGTTTTTTTTATCACTTTCAGTAGCTTCATTTTGTTCCTAAACACATGCACAATTAAGGACGCTTATAACATTACAATGAAAAAAAAAGGCTACTTCTTCCTCTTCTCTATCATAAAGAATTCTCATCCTAAGTAATGATTTTCTAACTACTGTAAGACGCAGCAAATTACTCCCTGAAAAGTGAAAACCAGCATTCACACAAAACTGTACTTGAGTGGTTATTAACTGTAGCTTTATTTGTAAAGGCCAAGAAAAACCTGAAAGCAATGCAGATGTCCTTCAGCAAACGACTGGTTAACCGGTGCACACTGCAGAATACTACTGAGCAATTAAAAGAAAGCAACTGGTGATACATGCAACCTGGATGAATCTTCAGAGAATTAGGGTAAGTGGAAAAGTCAACCTTGAGAGATTATGTGATGTACAATTCCAGTGATACAACATTCTTAAAATGTGCCCCCTCAGCTCCTATGTGGGAACGTGGGGCCTGGGGAGGTCTGGCTTTCTTAGGACTCTCCCCAAGCAGCCACAAGGAGGGCCCCCCCTCCACATGAGGCATGGCCACCTCACCTCCGCAGGCAGTCGGTGAGGGTCGTGGTTCCTGACACGTGGCTCTCCCCATTTACCACACTGCTCTCACTTCCAGGGCTCAGAGGCCAGAAGGGGGTGGAAGAGCCAGGGAGGTCCAGGCTGATGTCCCAGAAGGGGTCGATGGTGGTAGAGACCCCGCTAGGAGCAAGCAGGGGGGACATGTGAGCAAGGACGGATCTGTGGGCAGCAGAGCAACAAGGCCCCAGGATCCTTGGGCAGGGGGAGCACTTACTGGCACACCTGGCAGGTAACGTCAGACTGCAGCCCCCCTGTGAAGATCTGGTCTATGATACAGTTGCAGTGGTTGGGGTTGTTGGCCTTCTTCCCATTATCGTCACCTGGGGAGACCATGGCTCGGTGACCCTGGGCCCCAAGGCAGCTTGCCATCAAGCTGCTGAGCCTAGGGACAAGGCCAGTCCCCAGGGCAGGCAGCAGCAGGAGGGCCTGGGTGGACCTGCCGTATGTTTTCTCTCCTTGTTTCTCCCTAAGACCACCTGCCTGCCATCGGTCTGACACTAAATCTATCTCATGTCTAGTAACTGGTCTAGAAGCAGCCCTGTCCTCACCCCTCCTGGGCCCTCACTTTCACAGCCCACACCCCTGCAGAGCCCACCCTGGAAGGTCCACCCCCGCAGCCCCACCTTTGCAGTGCCGGTGCAGGACGTCCAGGGCCGCGATGAGGAACTCGTGTGCGTCCTGCTGCTCGTAGCCTGCCAGGTGCCGGGCGTGCGTCCACACCAGGTGCAGCAGCTTGTACGGGATGTGGGGGGACCGGTGCCCCGAGTAGAACTGTGTAGAGAGGAGGAGTGGCAGCCTCGTCAGGGGCAACACAGAGCTTCCATGTGCACACCTGACAATGAGTGGGCCAAGATGGTCATTTCCTCTCCTTTTCATGCAAACTGTGTTTACTTGGAGTCTGCATGTAAGTTTTCTCCATTCCCACCATCTGTTTTCTAGAAATACGTCCAAGCGATGAACTGTGGCAAACTTTCATTGAAACACAGATGAGGGCATGGCAACCCACTCCAGAACTCTTGCCTGGAGTACTGGCACAGGAGCCTGGTGGGCTACAGTCCACGGGTCCTCAAAAAGTTGGACACAATGAAGCGACTAACACTTTTACTTTGGTCAAAGGTGAATAAAAAGCTTTTTTAAAACACACACTCACACATATACACTAAAAGGTGACTTTTGTTCTGTGTAAATTGTACCCCCATAAACCGGAGCCTAAAGAGCAACGTGACAAGATGAACTGCCCACCAACAGTGCCTGAGTGAGACCCCCACCAGACTGTTCTGGCCCAACACTACCACTCAGCTTGTTCACTCCTGTTAACACCAGCCACTGCTGGCAGGCTGCAGGAACATGGGGACTGGATGGGCTGGGCCAGGCCAGGATCGGGAGACTTCTGAAAAGGGCCAGACGGTGAATAACTCCAGCACCACAGGCAGGCAGGCTCCAGGCAGCCGGGGTGCAACAGGGAAATGAGAGGATGCAATCAAGGGCCTGGGGCCAACACCTGAAGACACCTGGGTCCTTACAGCACCCGAGGAGCAGGACACTGTCCTGCAGTCGGGCCCTGAACCTGGAGGGTTAGCTTGCGAGCCCATCAGGGATAGGGGCCTCTGGTGACACAGTTAGCAAGGCTGGTAACGAGACCCACTGCCCTGTGGACAAAGCTGTAGGTGACGGTTGGGTGCTGGGGGGGCAAGGGGGTCAATGTCCGCTGCTCACATCCCATCCATGGCAGCAGCGAGCCTCTGAGAATGACACGGAGTCTCTTGGCTAGAGACCCTCTCGGGAAGGGCATGTGGTTCCACGACAGGGGCGTGTATGAGATGCCCACCGCAGGTGAGGTAACCCCTTTCCCTCCCCATCCCCTCCCCACACCTCCTGGAAGAGGGAGGACATCTCGCAGACCAGGCAGGAGCTGGGGCTCTGCATCTCACAGCGGTGCCGGTCAGACAGGAAGAAGTCGCGCAGCAGGGGTGTGTGCGTGAGCGCCTGCACGATGCAATTCATGAAGCACGTGTTCCCCAGGTTGATGAGGCCGCGCAGACCTGGCGGCAGAGGGCTGGGTCAGTCGGCATCAGGACCCCGCCAGCCCACGGCCCCACTCATGTGAGAAGAATGGAGCCTCTTTCCAAGGCTTGCACTCCTCTTATAGGAAAAGGCCCAAGGAGTGATGACCCCCAGCATTTGGCCCCCAACTTCAGCATCAACCATTCTGGCAGAATTGTCTGAAGGCCTCTGGTAACAAGGGCACAGGTCAGAGAGAAGTTTCCCCGACAAGCTGGCAGCCATGCCGCGTCCCCTGCAGTCTTGGCAGGGCCAGGGAGACTGCTCACACTCACACCCGCTTCCTGAAGAGCCCCACCCTGCCCGGCACACCCGAGGCCCCACTGGGCACGTGCCCACCCACCGATGGTGCAGTTGGACGTGATCTTCCGCCGCTTGGGGTTGTGTTTCAGCAGCTCGAGCTCCCGTTTGGTTGGCTCCCACGTTGAAAACTTCTCCCCGACACCTAAGCGGTGGAGGGTGCTGTTAGCTACACTGTATGTATGAACCCTGTTCCAGACACTTAAAGGAGCTTCCTTCAGAGAAAGTGCCGTGAGTAAGCCATGTTCCCAGAGAAGAGGAGAGCAAGACCAGTTCAGGGCTGTTCAGAGTGGTGTCAGTGGTCCTGAGACCTGCACCTTCTCGGCCTTAATCCCTGAGTAGAGGGAGCAGGGCTGAACCCCTTGCAGCAGTTGCAAGCTCGTGGGGACTCAAGCAAAAGCACAGGTCCAGGAAACTGGGCACCACACCTGCCTCCCTGGGCTCCTCCAGAGCTTGCAGGAGGAAGCAGGCAGGGATGGGGGCTCTTCCCCCCTCCCCCCACAGAAGAACCCTCCTACCTCCCACCCCTCGTGCCCTGACAGACGAGGGGCAGGGGATGCAGGCTAAGTCACCACCAGGCTCACAGAGCTCCGGAAAACCAAACCTTGCATCTTCCAAGCTTTCCGCTGCTCCTCTTTGGCAATGATTTCTATGTCTTTGTCATAAATGTAGTCCTGACACAAAAAGCAGTAGATACCTCCATACATGAGCTCGATGGCTGAAAAAGAGAAAGGAGAGAAGAAACAAAACTTAATTAAAGATCGAAAGATAATGCTTCAAGACACAAACACCTAACTTTTCTAGGTATCATTTCTCTAACCAGAAAATCCCACTATTACCAAAGGCTGTGCCCCCGCTTCAGACAGTGTGTCCAAAGCAGGTGAGACACGTGAATTCTCCCTGGAAGCTCCCTCAAGGGTTGAGCAATCTGAGGGAGAAAGAGGTGCCATGTCCGTACTTTATAACAGACCCAACCCCTCAGTACCAGGACCCTCTGCCTTTCCTTTGAAACAAGGGAAACCTGCATTCCTATCAGCCCACGGAGACTCACAGGACCAGAGCTCTGTGACCGGGCGCCCAGCAGCCCTCTCTCAGTGCCAGGATGTAGGCAGCACAGCCGCCAAGCCAACAACCCGGTCCTGTGCCCAGGGCTTCCCAACACACACATGCACGTATGCACACACACTCTTCCATAAACATGTAAACCTGGAGCACCTGAAAGGGGACACACACACACAGACACTCTCTCCCTCTTCTGTAACATGTAAACCTGAAGCACCTTAAGTGGACACACACACACACTCTTCCATAAACTGCATTCTAACACAGCAACAGGCAGGATCTTGCTCCTGTTCTGTGCTTTTGTCTCTTAAAGCAAACTTTCTAAAACTGACTCATTCTGGCAAAAATAGAGACAGAGTTTATCAAGCAGGCTGATAATGTGAACAAATACCACGTTTCTAAAGTGACTTTTGTAGGCGACACTGGGTTTCAGTAAGATTCTTCAGACAGTCTTTTAAGTGTAAACGTGTTCCCACTTTTGCAGCCCTCCTAACCACAGACACTCTCAGCCCACATGTGAGAGCCCTATGTGGGTCTGGTCTGAGAGTCAGATTGCATGACCCTTGTAACCACAGACTCGCAGCCCACATGTGAGACCCTACCTGGTCTCGTCTGAGAGTCAGATGGAATGAAGCACAGAGTTCTCTACTGCACACCACAGGGTCCCACCCCTCACCGTGACCATCAGCCCTTCTCTCTGGTTCCTCCAGGGGAGATCCCACTGCTGACTGCTGGCCCTACTGGGCGGCCGCCAACCCACAGCCTATGAAGCACCATCAGAGTCATCGGCTCTCCTTCCGAAAAGGCCAGTTAACACCTCGTCCTGGGCTGACCCCTCCCCCACCCGGTTCAAGCTCTCAGCTAGAGATGAAGCATGACCTCTGGAAATGACTGCGTTCGGACGCCATCTCTACACAGGAAGACTGGGTCACAGGAAGCTGTGTTGTAGCAAAGGGCTTGTGGCCTGGACCTTGTGAAAGCGATTTCCTTACAGGAATCCTCACCACCTCACCATCGTTTGACAGAAAACACAATTCTCAAGGAGAGAAAAACTTAGTGACAGCAGTCAGAAAATAAAGCCTAGAGCAAAACTCAGCTTCATGGAACCCCACCTTGACGCCAGCACCTCCAGCCTCTCCATGAACAAACAACAAGGCAAACCGCTCACAGCCCTAAACTCACCCAGTACCCCATAATTGACACCAATAACCTAAAGCTGCATGGAAGGCCTTTACAGATTTCTGCCTAATCTAACACCCAACCATGCCTTTCAGAGGGAGAGACAAGTCTCCGATGTTCTGTTGCAGGAAGAGTCATCCTTCCGGGTCACACAACTCCACGTGACCTCAGGCAGGCTGGACAGGAACACCTGTGGGCTGCTTCTCTCCCCTCCCCACAGGAGTTCCAAGGAGAGCACAAACCACTTCAGGTAAGAGCAGGCTCCTGAGAGAGTGGAAGGTCAAAGCGGGAAGTTGGGAAGATGACCCCAAAGCCCAGCAGGTGTGCATCAGGAGGGTCTTACCCAGGTTGTGCCTCTTGGATTTGGCGTGCTCGTGAATGTGCTTCTTCGTGAAACAGCCGAAGAAGACACAGTGCAGGCAGGAGTGCAGCCGGTTCAGGTGGAGGCCACACACATGACAGACGCACGACTTCGCCTAAAAGTCAGAAGAGAGAATTGGGAACCTGGGGTTCTCAGAGACACCAGAGCAAGGTGATTCCGACAGGCACAGCTCGGGAGGAAGTGGAAGCCTGGGTTTCCTCTCAAGGTCTCCCCACCTAAAAGATCTTTTCCTTAATCTTGTCAATCGACCCAAAAGGGACGTAGGTCACTTAGTTCAGACCGGCTCCTCGAAAGAGGACTCAGCCCAGTCTCAACCACCAACTCAAAGCCACTCAGATCAAGTGTGTGAAGCTTCAGGAGCAGAAAAGGTCTTTCCGCATCCGAGGGCCCCCCACCCCCAGGGCACCTATAACCAGCACACCGTTTCAAGTTTGATATTCCAGGTTCCAAGACCACAGCAAATCTATACTCAATCAAGATGGATATGAATCAAAGCAATACACAGAAACAAGAAAAAGAATATTTGTGGGTGAGAACTAGACCACAGAAACCTGAAGTTTTAGAACCTCAGCAATCATGAGCACTGTGGTAAACAATTCTCTTTCACCCAAACCTCCAAAGTATCTCCCCCCTCCCAGCAGGAAGTCGTGCTCCAGGGCAGTTCCACAGGAGGAAGAGGTTCATGGGAAAGACTTCTAAAATGCTGCAATACAAGAAACAGTAATTGTATCACCTATTTATTCTGCCAATGATCAATCTAAGAAATTAACTAATTCTAATTGTTCTCAGTAACACAAGGGTTAAGTTACATAGTTACATAGTGGTTACTTGATGTGTAACAGTGAATGGTTCCAGTAGCCTGGATGTTTTCCTTTTACAAAAATATTGTTAGGAACAGACTCCTGGAATCTGTTTACTGCCCCCCTATGGCTACAGATGTAAAAAAAAGATTAAGAGGTGTTCCTTGTTTTTATCAATCTGTATACATGAAATGCATGACCATAGTTTTATTAAAAAAAACTCTTCTATGACCTTAATAAACAAAAAATCCAATTCTATTTATATAATTCAAGAAAAAACTCAAGACCAGCATGACTCTTAAAATATAAACATATAAGGTTAAGTACACAATTTTAACACATTTCCCCTTAAAACACACAAAAGTTTTAAAAAACAGACAAAAATTTAAGCCCTGAATTTTAAATCCAAATCTGCGTCATCTGTTCTCTTGCAGCATCTCTCAAGAAAAATCTGCTGAAAGAAAAAAGGCATCAAGAATGTTAGCTACACAAAAAGGGAACCACAAGAATTAAGCACAGGCAGATGGGCTACAACTAGAAAGAAACTGGTCACATCCTGAAAAGATCAGGGAAAGAAAGCCTGAGGTAACAAACACACACACACACACACAATTTGACTAAGTCTTTTTCACACAAATAAAGCCCAGGCTCAGGACTCATTTTAAGGCCCTGATTCAGATTTTACAACTAGGGCTCCACTGGCAGACAGTCCCAAACACAAATCCATTTTCCGTAAACACCAAGGATTTGCCACATACGCCACAGTAAACAACTCTTGGATTAATTGGTGCTCCGCAAATAAAAACAAACACAAACCAAACCGCACCTCTTACAAGCCACTGACTCCAGCTGACGCTGATGGGCCTGAGAAGGAATAGAAGCTGCTTTTGGAATTCCCTGAGAAAATTCTGGCCGGATTTGAGCATAAAAATGAGTAACAAAACTAATGGATTATACACCCAACAACAACAAAAAATACCCAAGTCCACTAGAAATTATACCAACACACACACTACACAGTCTTTTCATGCTGTTACATAAATGTAACAATGTTTCTATTACAACGGTTCTGAACGGGACTGCAACTGCTGTGGGTGATCAACATTTCACAATGGTTCATTCATTAGTGCACAGGCTAGGCTACTTGGCTACTGTAAGACAATCAATTGCTACTTCTTTGTTACCAATACAGAATAGATACATCAGTAAACAAGAACCTCTTCTGCTCCTTATCTTTTCATTTTTGATGTCTAATTCCACCTCCTCATCAGCCTATAATTTCATCAGCCACACCTGTGTAATGATTTGATCACTGCCTGTTAATCAAGACTACATAATAAAGCCTCCATAAAAACCCCATAAAACCCCTAAATCATGGTGTTCAGAGTGCTTCTGGGGAGGTGAATGGATCGCTGTGCTAGGGGATGCACCCCAAAACCACTGGGACACAAGCTCCTCTGCTCTGGGTCCCCCAGATCTCACTCCAAGTATCTCTTCATCCGGCTGCTCATCGGTGGTCTTCATAATAACCTTTACAATAAACAAGTAAAACTGAGTAAATGTTTCCCTGAGCTTTGTGAGCTACAGGAGGGAAGCAGAGTCTTATGACTGGAGACTGAAGTGGCGGTGTCCGCTGGAACCTGCAGGATCAGGCTAACTCCAGGTGGGCACAGTCAGACTGGGTCAGGTTTGTGTGACACCCAGTTGGTGTTGGTGCAGACTGGACAATTACTTGGTGGTGCTGGAAATCATGCCCAAATAATTTAGTGGGATCACAAACTTGAGTCAGACTGACTTAATTTCAAGGTCCAAACTTGGCATTTCATCTGCAACCTTGAACAGGTCAGGAAACTTAACTGCCAAGGCCACCTAAACAGTGTAACCTGAGTTCAAAATCAAAATGTAATACTGTGAGAGATGTTTTATAAGATGAAAAACGCTATGTAAATACAAAGTAGTAGTATTATAAGTGAGAAATCTGTGAGCCCAAGAGATGTGGGACCACACAAGGTCAAAGGCCACACACCTGGGCAGAAGTAAGACTCAGACAAACACCCCCCCCCCACCTCAGTACTGACCCCCTCAATCAGTCCTTAATTTACATTTCGATCACTTCCCCACTGTCAATTACAAGTGCCTCCAGGGAGCCATCCAATTCTACTAGAGCCTCATGTAACCTGCTGGTCCCACTTCTTTCCCTAGAACCTCGATCAGGTGATGCAAGTGACTGACAGGCCCACTGCCGCAGGAGCTGCCAAGATTAAGATGAGGCAGGTCAGCTCAGTCCCTAGAAACCAAGTTCCCTTATTTGTACCTCACCTCTCAACATCTGCTGGACACCTGACCCCTTAAGTGTGGGTGCTCAAGACAGTAGAAACTTCAGGAAAGACACAGCATCACTCCAGATCTTGCCTGAGGACCAAACTCAGGTCTAACGGAGCCTCTGAGTTGGCTGCCAACTTCCAGGAAACAGAACAAAACATAACAAAACATGAAACCTAAGGCTGCAGCCAGCAAATTCAGACTCAGGAATGATCCTGGCAAAGCCTGGAGCTCTTCAGCAGGTCCCCGTGGGAATGAGAGGGGCAAGGAGACTGAGACACAAGATCCACACTGGGACAGCACCCAGGGAGGATGAGCTGGGGGGGTGGGGGCGCTCTGACCCTGCACCTGCCGCACAGAGCTCGGACCTTCACAAACAGGGCTCCGGACTCCCCCCAAACCTGGAACCACAGCTGTGAACCGTGAGAAACACATCAGACAAATCCAAATTGAGACACATCCTACAAAATACCAGATTAATACTCCATTACTCCTCAAAACCACTGCGGTCATTAAAAACAAACAAAAGGCAAACTTGAAAAACCATCACAATCCAAACTAGCTGAGGCGGGGAAAACAGGAGAGAGAAAAGACAAAAGGACGTCTCTGGTGGTCCAGTGATTAGGATGCCACTGCAGGGGGTGCAGGTTCAATCCTTAGTCAGGGAACTAAGATCCCACAAGCTGGGTGGCAGAGGCAACAGAGGAGCCTGAGGAGACACGGACCAAATATCTCCTGAGACAGGACGAGAGAAAAACTAATCAGATCTGAATAAAGTATAATCTTTAATAATGATATATCAAGCTTGTGCATTAGTTGTAACAAAATGTACCACAGAAATGTAAAAACTTCACCATCAGCGAGATGCCAGGGATTGATACTGGAGCTCTCTGTATCATCTTTTTAAAAAATACTCACCTACAGTTTATTTTGGTTTTTCTAAATAATCACATCTGTAAACAACAGGATTTTTGTTTCAGTCCCAACTCCCCATTCGTTACAACTTTTTGTTCTCATATATTGTCTAGAACCTCCATTGTTTCTGCTGTTATTGAGTCACTAAGTCATGTCCAACTCTGCAACCCCACGGACTGGGGCCCGCCAGGCTCCTCTGTCCATGGGATTTCCCAGGCAAGAATACTGGAGTTACCATTTCCTTCTCCATCTGTATTATTTCTGATAACTTTTCTGTAAATCTAAAATCTGAATCTAAAATTATTAACCTGCATAGAACTAAATACACACACACGAATGAGCAAAAGTGGAAACCAGGGAAATCAGAAATAAAGCTGTGGATTGTATCCAGTTGGGCAAATGGTTTTAACAGTGAATTAGTCTTGCTGGATCTTACCATAAGGATAAACCCCCAAGGTTCTCTATTTTTCACAACAGTAGGTTAATCTACATTACCTCAAAAGGAACAATGTTTTCATTTTAGATCTTTTACTTGGAACCACCTGTCTCCTGCTCCCTGTGAGTGCTGCAATGCTCAGGTGTGATAACCTGAAAGAACTAATTCATCAATAAATAAAGCAGAAGTTAATTCCTCAAAGCAAGAAGTTCTGAAAAAGAAAACCTTTTACTTAAAAGAATGGACATATCCAAAAAATGAACTAAAAAACAAAACTGAAGGGACAGGAGACAGCTGTCTGCAGCATTCTCACCACCATCTAAGTGCCTGGTCAAAAAAGACTAGTCACTGCAGTCAGTAACACTGGACATTTAACAGCTAAGTCTACCATCTATCTACCAGATGCTGTATGCTGTCACTCCAAGTATTTTGTCTAAGCCGGTAACAGCAGAACTGTTACTCTCCAAAGATGAGTTCTACTAAAAAGTTCAAACATAAGAGATTCACTCAGATTTCAGACTCTAGAATTGAAGCAACCCTGATTAAAAGAGGTGACCAGTAAGAACCCTAGAGTAAACCTTTTTCTAATATACATGGTAAAGTAACACTGACTCAAGATAAGTAAGACCATTTTCCATCTGAAATGCCTCCCTTTCCACACCACAACCAAAGGCTTGAACCATGCTTCTAAAATATTGACTATCCAGAAACAAAAAGACACGGTCTCCAGCCCCTTTCCTCAAAAAACCCCTCAGAGATTTCCAACCCAAAGGATTAGAAACGCTGTCACCAAATGTACTGAGAAGACTTCAAAAGTAGTTTGTCATCCTCCAGATTACTGTCCAAACTACACCAGAATCAGTAATGGCCCGAGTACTGATGCTTCCTCACCTGTGGTGAAGTATTTCAGTAAAAACACTTCTTATGACTACAAAAAGGGCTGTGTTTTTTGAGGACAAGTTGCTGGAAAACTTCAGAATCACAGAAACAGTTCAAAAAGAGAGAAATGATTGCTTAAAAAACATTACCTGTCCCCCCAAAATGTCTACATATTTAAATATAATACAGACTGGGTTAACTCATAACAACCAGGGGAACTGAAAATTCCTGCTGTCCTCATTGTTGGTTTCCATCTTCACATACAATCCCTCAAGTGACAAGTATCACGCCAGAAAAGCACAGCAGTACTAAGTCCTCAATTCTCAAATCTGATCGTGCCCACCAAGAGAAGCAGCAGAGTTTGGATACAGAAGTCATAACCCACCTCTACCTAAAGGAGGGTTTGAACTCCTGTAGTTACACTATAGCTGAGACTTCACTGTAGCTTCTTTGAGCAACCTCAATGAAGTTTAACTTAGGTTGAAGTATTTTACAGGCAACTTTCCAGTGTTAAATCCAAACTACTAAGCCTGCACCTCTTCTGAGAAACCTCTGCAAATTACCAAACGTACATTATTGTTTCTCAAACCAAACTCCTCCTTGGCTGGGCCACCAGGATTCTAGAAGTGCACGGAGTTCCCAACATTCAGGGAATATGGATGGAGGACACAAGGATTCACCGGCGGGATATGATCATAACGCCCGGCAGCACCCGACAGACCCGAGTTCTGAAAGAGGCTCCTACCTCACTTCTTGTCTCTCTGCAGCTCAAATTCTCACTAGCGAGTAATACAGACGTGTACAGTAATACAGACAATTTTCAAACTAAGCAATTAACATTAGATTAATCCAAGTCACATGTAACAACAAAAGGTGAATCTTTCCTCAGGAAATTCGGCAAAGTTAACGAGGGGTTAAACTTTACTCCTTGAAGCGATATTAAAAAATTACACATCTTAACCAACAACATGGAGCAGTAAGTAACAAGATTATCGCCTTTAACAGAATCAACCAAGTGATTTATTTTAAGGGCACACAACTCCATAAGCAAGAACCTCACTCCCATCCTAGTAGAAGCCTGTTTTATCTCCGATTTCAGTTCATCATAACAGCCAGTTGTTCCCAACACCCACACTGATAAAAAGAAAGAAAACTGGTGCTTAACATTCCCTACGTGGTCAGCAGATGTTAGTTTTACCATAAAAAATGCTGTTCAAGGTGGACATTGCCTAACAGCGCCTGCCCTTGGGCTACGAACTGCAAAATCGCCCTACACCAAACAACATACTTTCTTCAGGTAGGAGGGAATAGCGCCATTTTCTCATTTCCAAATAGCTAACAAGCCCAAAGGCAGGACACTGAGTACAGCTCCCTCAGGAGGCGCCCGCGTCAGACAGGAAGCACCCCGGCTCCCATGTCGTCAGACAGGCCCCCTTTACACCGCTCCTGCGCAGAGACAGGTGACCTGGAAATCCCCTTATGCCAAGAGCGATGCGACTCCAAGCGCAGGGCCGGCGGCGTTCCGCATCCGCGCTCGCGCACACCTGGTGGGAGGGGCCGCATCCCGGAACGTCCCTGCGGACTTGGGCCGGGAGCTCCCCGAGCTGAAAGGAGGGGGTGGGGGGGAGCGTCTTGTGGACCCTGAGACCCGAGGGAGCCCCGCGCTGAAGTGGAAGGGCGGGGGTCCCTGCTGATATGGGCCGGGGAAACGCATCACGCTGAAATGAGGGGGGGGGGGGGGTGGGGGAGTCCTTGCGGACTCTGGCCTGCGCTAAAGTGGAGGGGCGGGGTCCCCGCTGATCTGGGCCGGGGAGGCGCCCCGCGCTGAAATGGCGGGGTTGGGTGTCTTGTGGATCCTGCGTCCCGAGGGCGCCCGGCGCTGAAATGGGGGGTGGGGGGGACGGGCGTCCCTGTGGACTCTGCGCCCAGAGTTGAACTGAGCGGCGCGCGTCTCTGCACACCCCAGGCGCGTGGCGGCTGTACTCGCGTCCCGGGGACCCGCCCGACCGCCCGTCCCCGGCCCAGCGACCCCCAAGCACCCGCCAGGACCGCGGAGAATTAGCACATCGTGGGCGGCACAGGCCGCACCCTCCGCGGCTGCGTCCCCGCCCCGCCCCCGCCGGAGGGTCCCCAGGACACGCCCCGCGCGGCGACGTCGGAGACCCTCCCCCTCCCACCCGGCAGCCCCGGGAAAGACCGCCCCCCACGCCCGCCCTCGCCCACCCCGCCCCCGCCGGCCGTAGGCGGTGGGGGAGGGGACGGCGGAGGCACGACCCCCGCCCCGGAGCCGCGCCTCCGAGCTCACCTTGCGCTTGCGGGCCTCCGCCGAGCCGCTCCACACGAAGCACTGGTAGATGGCGCGCAGGTTCTGCTTCCAGTTGTCCACCTTGAAGCTGCCCAGGTGCGCGCAGCCCGGCGGCGTCACCACGAGCTCCGCGTCCATGGCCTCGCCGTCCGGCTCGGGCCGGGGCGCCGGCGGGGACGAGGACGACGCCAGCGCGGCGCGAGGCTGCAGGCGGCCCGGCTGACGGACGGGCCCGGGACAAAGCGGAGCAGCGCGACTGAGTGGCGGGCACCGCCCGCGAGGCGCTTGCAGGTCGCCGAGGCCGGGGCGGTGCTACGTCATCGCGGCCGGCGCGCGTGCGCTAGGCGCGCCCCTCCCCCACGGGCTGGCCCGGCGGGGTGGGGCTGCGGAGGCCCCGCCCCGTCGCCCCGCCATTGGCCGGCGGAGGAGACTTCTGACGGGAATTGGTTACTTCCCGCCCTCCGAGGGGCGCGGGCGGAGGCGGGACCGGGCTGGTTTGCGCCGGCTGGGCTGCCGCAGGGACTGGAGGGCAGGGGAGGGCGGTTGCTGGGCGGGGCCCGGTAGCGGTCCGCTGAGTCGGATCCGGTGAGTTCGGACTGGCGCTCATCATAGTCAGGCCTTCCGGGTGGGAAGCGGAGTATCAGACAATTGTGGACTCTGTCCGGTTCAGTCCACTCGTCGCCATCCCGCCGGGCAGCAGGTTCACAGCCCGGGGAGCGCGAGTCCCGAGAGCTCCGAGTGATCCTGTCCACCTGCGGGCCGGCCCCGCTGGTACGGGAGGTCCGTGAGAGCAGGTGCGGGTTTCTCGGGGTCGCTCAAATGCGCCCCGCATCCGGAGAGAAAAGACAGAAATAAAAGATGCTGTTTGGCAGCTGGAGCTCGGGGCCCGGCGGCTGCCCGCCGCCTGCTCGGCGAGGCCTTCCTTCCAGCCTGTTGGACTTTACGATTCCCGCCCCCCCACCCCAGTCCTTCATTTCCTTACCCAAAGAACTTACTCACTTTTTTAAAAAAATTAACTATTTTCCTCAGTAGCACGAAAACTCCATGATGGTAATGATTTTTCTGTTTTATTAAAGTCTGTATCCAGCAGTGCCCTCTGGTTACATGCAGGTCTTCAAAAATAGATGTTTAATTAGCTAATTAACCCGAAGAAATTTTTATAGTAGAATCTAATGCAATCATTCTCAGACTAAAACACGAGTGAAGTAAGGCACATTACGGATGTGTTAAAGGAGTGTCAGTTTTAAAAAAGTGAACTCTTAAATTTTAATTACAAATTCTATGTGATTCATCTCTATTAATGTTATATATGAAGAATATTCCAGTATTATTGTTCTTATAAATATGACTCGGTTTCAAGAATGTGCCCCTAATATCAAGCACATTTTTTATGAATTTGGTCATCCAAACATGGGAGAATTTCTATGCTCTCTACTTGAATTGTAAGCAGTGATTTCAAATGCCCTGTAATCAGAACAGCCTTATACATAAACAAAAGTAAAGCACAATATATCCTTGCAAAGCAGTTCCCAACTGAGTCACGGTTGATACTGTTTAACACAGCTTTTTCTTTTCCTAATGGGAAAAAAGCTGAGAACATGCTGCTGCTGCTAAGTCGCTTCAGTCGTGTCCGACTCTGCGACCCCATAGACAGCAGCCCACCAGGCTTCCCGTCCCTGGGATTCTCCAGGCAAGAACACTGGAGTGGGTTGCCATTTCCTTCTCCAGTGCATGAAAGTGAAAAGTGAAAGTGAAGTCGCTCAGTCATGTCTGACTCCTAGCGACATCATGGACTGCAGCCTACCAGGCTCCTCCATCCGTGGGATTTTCCAGGCAAGAGTACTGGAGTGGGGTGCCATTGCCTTCTCCCGAGAACTTGCTAACTGACCATTAACAGGCAAATGAATGATTCAGTAAACTGTTGACTAGACTTTGTAGGGAACGCTATGCAGCTGTAAAAATGGATGACGTAGGTCTCTAAGCGCTAGTATCAATGCTGTGCTGTGCTCAGTCTGTCAGACGCCTCTGGCTCTTTGCAACCCCAAGGACTGCAGCATGCCAGGCCTCTCTGGCCATGGGATGTTCCCAGGCAAGAATACTGAAGGGGATTGCCATTTCCTTCTGCAAGGATCTTTACCACTTAGATGGAACCTGCATCTGCTGCACTGGCAGCAGGTTCTTTACCACTGAGCCATCTGGGAAGCGATAACAACACTAATAAGGAAATTATATAAGATACATGAATAAAGCAAGTTACAGAAAAATACAAGTAGTATGGTAATGTTTATTGAAAAATAAGACTGTATGTAGATGTATATTAAAGGGCTGGAAGAAACAAACAAACCCGTCAATCATAGTTAATATCTGGTGAAGGAGAACACCTGTAATATTTGAGTTATTTTATAATAAGACTTAATTATATATTATTTCATACTTAAAAATCACTAATGGGACTTCCTTGATGGTCCAGTGGCTGACTCTGCTTCCAATGCAGAGGACTGAGGTCCATCTGTTGTTAGGGAACTAGATCCCACGTGTCTGCAACTGAAAGATCCTGCCAAATATTTTTTTAATAATTTAAGGCATTTATTTTTAAAAAGTAAACTAATAAATGTGCATACTTTTATTTTTGATCATATTTGTGTATATTAATCAATTTTGGTTTTCTTGGTTGCTCTTTTCCTCAACTATGTTAGATAGAAAAAGTAGTGGTGATTAATATCTTGAAATGTTAAAATTCTCCAAATCATGTTATGACTTTCTAACCATAATTGTGTTAATAAAGTAATTCCAAAAGTATTATTTGGTTTTCAGTTTGAAATTAGTACTGCCCACTATATTCAAACACTAATAAAACTGTGGTGTCAGGGGAAAAGTTTTTCTAGATGCACTGTCAGCTTCTGTCCTGAGCAGTTTGAATGATCACAGTTTCTTAATCAGCAGAGTTCATACTCTTCATCTAAACTCTCAAACCCATTGTTAAATAATAATCCTAGGAGAGTTGGACATTTTCTGTCATGCATGTGGGAAAAGGAAAGGAGCCAATGATCCTTGTCGTCAGATGTAACAGATAAATCCTATTAAGAATACACAGATTAAAAAAAAAAAGAATACACAGATTTCAATTACAAGACTCCCCCAGAGCCACAAACTATCAACTAATATAACCCTGTGGAAATAACATGCTGTCTGCAGGTTTTTTGTTTTTTTGCTTTTGCAGAATGTGGCAACAGTTTCTAAAGATTCTGTGTTCAAATAACACTTGCAAGAAAAATTTATTTTAATCACAAACAAGTTATAGTCACACCAGTCCCAATTTTGCATCAGAGGATGGGATTTTATGACCACTCTCAACTCACCGTCCTATCAAACTAATTACTTTAAATTGTGATTATAACAAACTGTTTAAAGACTACATTATTTAAGATTGGTTATTTTAAATAGATTATTTTTTAAAATATTTTATTATTTATTTATTTGGCTGTGCCAGGTCTCGGTTGCAGCATGCAGGATCTTCTGTCTCCATTGTGGCTTGCAAGATCTTTAACTGTAGCATGAGAACACTTATAGGCAGCATGTGGGATCTAGTTCTCTGAGCAAGGCCACCTGCATTGGAAGCATGGAGTTCTAGCCATAGGATCACCAGGGAAGTCCCTAAATAGATTAATTTAAACACTTTATGGTGCAGAACATTCTCTTTAACACATCTTCAATTCTTTCTGAAGCTCCCTTTGTTAAGACTTCCAGTTTTTAAGGTCTGGCTCTGAAATAGCTTCCTACTCAACATCACATGCAAAGAACATATCTGTGAAGTGCCTTTTTGCTGGCAGAAATGTAGCAAAGATTGAATATGGATCTTACTTAATACTGACATGAAACTGAAGAGTGTATTGAATTTTTCTTCTTTGAAATTAAGCTATCCTGTATTTAACTTTCTTTGGGAAAATATTCAATATAGTAATAACCTTTTATATTTCTTGATACAAACACTTTACCGTCCACACTTTTGTGTAATTGTCACAACAGCCCTGTGAAATAGGCATTAATTTCCTGTGAGGGGCCCTGTTTAGGCTCAGAGCTTCTGTGGCAGAAGGAGCACTGGCAGTCTGGTTTTGTCAGCTTTTGAGGATGGCAGTGATACAAACAGTAATGGCAACATCTAATGTTTATTGCATACTTACTCTGTAGATGGGCTTCCCAGGTGGGTCTAGTGGTAAAGACCCGCCTGCCAATGCAGGAGACACAGGTTCAATCCCTGGGTAGGGAAGATCCCCTGGAGTAGGGCATGGCAACCCACTCTGGTATTCTTGCCTGGAGAATCCCATGGACAGAGGAGCCTGGCAGGCTACAGTCCATAGAGTCACAAAGAGTTGGACACAACTGAAGCAACTTAGCACACACTGTACCAAGCAGTGTTCCATTAATATAAACACCCTCCTGACAGATCAATGAAGTGGTTTCAGAGACTAGCTCTATCTTAATACTGATGCACCACTCTTAAGCCTGCTTCACCAAAAGATGTTTATACCACAAAAAGTAAAAAAGTTTACATTTCTAAAAACCTTGGATTCTGAGACAGGCCAAGATGAAGAAGCCTCCCCAAATCCTTGAAGCACAACCACCAAAAACCTGGCATCTCAGACAAACCATGTCCTGATTTTTAGGAATAAGATAGGAATATCTGGTTTTCATAAAAAAGACTATACTACCCCATCAGATTTGATTGTATATAATAATCTGAACTCTACACAGTATCCCTTTTCATCTGCTGGCCAGTTTTTCTGGAAACCAGACTTTGTATGTATTACATGAAAGTAATGTATGCATTATTTTCACTCAGTGCTCAAAATTTGTACACAAGGAGACTTCCCTGGTGATCCAGTGGTTGACTCTACACTTCCTTTGCAGGGGGAAGCACAGGTTTGATTCCTGGTCAGGGAACTAACATCTTGCATTTCCCACGTTGGCCAAAAATACCTCGTGCACAGGGTTTTTTCCTTCAACCATTATCGTAGTCCTGAAACTGAACACAGAACAGCTGGTTAACTTGCCTGGGGTTGCCCAGCTGGAACAGGGAACTAGGCAATCTTTTCTCTAAGCCCACTCTGAACCTGTCTGCCATATTCCAGCCATTGCTTGACTGGTAAGCCCCTGCTTTTATTTTTTGGTTGCTCCATGAGACTTGGAGGATCTTAGTTCCCCAACCAGGGATGGAACACATGCAGTGGAAGCACAGAGTCCTAACCACTGGGAAGCCAGGGAAGTCCCTAGTTCCTACTTTTTTTCCCCTAGCTCTGTGCTAGCCACTAGGAGCACAGAGAATGAAAAATGCAGTCACTGTCCATAGTTTAAAGTGGGGGCATCTGACAATTTGACGGTGGTTATCAGGCCTGGTGGAAACATGACAGAGGGGTGCACAGAGGCTGTACTGGTCCAGGTGATGGGCAGCTCACCCAGCCATAGAGGTCAGGGTGGGTCCCTGGGACCAGGTCTTGAAAGACAAATAGGATTATCCGGATAGGGAAAGAGAGGGTGGGAGGAGCACCCGTGAAAGCCATTCCAGTTATCTACTTCTGTACAACAAATTCTCATGGTCAGTGGGACTGGCAAGCATGTTCTCTCTCAGGATCTCTCGTGGTTTCACAGAGGTGGCTGGCACTGGGTTCATCCTTGAAACATCAAATGGTTGATACCAGCTGGAGCCACAAATAGGGTTACCAGAACCTTTCATGCAGCCTGGATGTCCTCAGCTGGATTTCAAGAGTAAGCATCCCAAAGGAACCAGGAGAAAGCTATCCCACCTTCACCTGGAAGCGAATGGCCTCATTTTGCCAGTCAAAAGTGCTCCCAGGTTTGAGGGAAGAGTCTCCTTTTTTTTAATTGAAGGATAATTGCTTTACAGAATTTTGTTGTTTTCTGTTAAACATCAACATGAATCCTCCATAGGTGAAGAGTCTGCTTCTCAGTGGTGGTTATATCGATGTCACTTCATCAGAGGATGTAGGATGGCTGATATCTTTGTGGCCATTTTGGAAAATACAATCTGTTCAGAAGGTCTGTAAGAGCCCCGAGTACTGGAGAGACTGTGCTGTGTCTCTTCCCACCCCTGAAATGTAACCCAAATACAAATAACTCTAGGCCACAATACAGGTGCAATGCAGTTCAGTAAAGTGTTGGCTTTCCCATAATAACTCCTACTCCGTCCTGGGGGTTGGGGGGATGGATATCAACCATCAAACACCTTATGTATTTTTTCCCTCGCTTTCTTTTTTTGGGGGAGAGCCCTGCTTTGCTGGTGCTCAAACTACATGTTAGGTGCTCCAGGGTGTGGGAACGGTATTCCAGGTAGAAGCAGTGGCACAGGAAAAGACAAGAAGTAAAAGAGCATGGGTAAGTTCACTTGAGCGAGTGGAGACTGGAAGGTGAAGGGGGAGAGGTGATGGTGGGAGGCTGAGAAGGGGCAGATGACGAGGGCCTGGAGCACCAATGACAGCAGCATGCACTCTTCTGTTCTTGACATCCTGAGCACTTTTCATACAGTAACTCATTTAAATCAACATTCCTGTGAGGTAGGTTATATGAGTATTTCATCTTACAAATGAGGAAACTGGTTAAACAATTTCTTCAGGCCTATACCACTAGTAGGAGGCAGAAATATGGTTTAAGCCTAGGAAGTCTGGCCCCAGAACCTGTGCCTTTTAATACAATATATTTATTTATTTGGCTGCGCCAGGTCTTACTTGTAGTGGGATCTTCAGTCTTCATTGT